ACCTCCTTGGAGGTGATAGATACAATACTTAAATGGTTTAACAATTGCATATAAACATGTATAGAACTTAACAATAATGTACACGGCCGGAAGATTACTTTCGTGATACTAAACTTTTTCATTACTCATTCCAATTTACTGTATTTATAATCGTCAAATTTAGTAGATAGAATAGAGAGTGATGGAAATAAAGCGAAGAAATTGCTAGAAACATTACTGAATGAAGCTTGTTTCAGACAACAATAATAATAATATTACCAGTAACTACTTAGATGGTCCTTCAAATCTCGTTACGGCCTCATTTTATAACGGTCTCGTTTCCGTATTAATTAACATTAGGTCAAATGGAAACTAGATAAAGTAGAATTTTAATTTTTCTTTTAGCTCTTTATGACCTTTGCTGCCATTGAAAGATAGAAAGGATGGCGCCAATCTTTTCTAGATAATTAATTTATGTAAGAATGAATCTTGTATGTTTATTTTTCTTAAATGGTTTTTCTCGTCATTTAGATGACGCCATATTATCGTTTATTACTATACTATCTTAATAAATATATCAATAAAATTATAATAAGTACAATAGCTATTATGGCAACTTAAGCAGTGGATGAATAGCGCTTGACTATGCAAATGAAATGAAATTTATAATAGAAAACATTTATTATAATTATTTAGAAAGTTTTTCTATAACAACGTTCTATTTAGCAGCAATTATAGGTAAAGAATTGTGGACAATAATGGCCTTGTAATGCCAATGCTTCAGTAACAGTATTGGCTAACTAGTAATCTATTTATGGATGAAGACAGCAATATTCTCTACTGATTTAGCCTATTTGATGAGATTGTACAGGGCTAATGTTACGTTAACATTATCGAGATCTCTTTCTAATTCCTTTTGGGAAATAAAAACGCTTTTTCACAGTAAAACTTGATATATGTCTATTAGCTAGGATTTCATACATTTACAGAATTTTTATAGAAGTAACAATAGTTGTTCATGTAGGGCTTGGAATAATCAGGCTTTAATAAGGTATAGATCCTTCAAACAAGATAGAAATTTTTTAGAATACTAAATAAAGGACATGTGTAGTCGATCACTTGTTATATCTATTGCCCTAAGACAGTTGACATTGATGCTATTGATGATCATTTGATATTGAGCGTAATGACGTGCTATTTAGTTATGACTCATTCTGTAGATTTGCTCTCACTTGCTTTCTAAAAAACTCTTCTAGATCAATAAACGTTAAATAAAGTTATCATATCTCTGGCTTAAAATATTTCAAAATATTTAAAATGAATTAGCATTAACGATGCAAAAAGTGCTTCTAGTTTTAAGAGATAATTTCGTAATAAATACGATTGATTATTCCAGTCTGACTCTTTTGCTTTTTATTTTGCTAAATGACTCATCAATTGAACTAAATTTGCATTTTGGTGGTTATATGAATTTGATTAAACTTTGGTATGGAAATTGTTAATGGAAGTGATGAATCATTAGACAGAATTAGTTTACATTAATTCATAGACTATACTATCAAAAGAAATAACTTATCGTGAATGAGTTTGATTAACGATTAACAGAAGAAAAACAAAACTTTTATTAATGTTTACAGAGCCAAGTTTCGTAAAGGAACATAGCGCTGTCACAAAACAGCTTTGCAACAAGATAACGTAATATACGATCAATAAGTCAATTTCTTGCACCACGTATCAAGGAACGATATCTGCACTATCACAAACACTTTTGCTCTACTAGTAGACAACACAAAGCCTTAGACGCCACGTATTTTACGTTAATCACTAAGTTTAAGAATCCACTTATTACACGATATACTGCGTTTATATACTCTTCCTCAATAGTTCATGAGTCATAATTAGTACGATTAACTTTGGAATCAGTTACTGAATTAGATATTAATTATAGCTACTGCTCCCTTAATGCAGACAACAGTATTGACAAACACAGACATTTGATGACTAATGCAGAATAGTCAGATTACGATATATCCTATCATGGAACATTTCCACGATAATTTACAATCTACCATAAGTAAGTTAAAATCGCAAAGATTCGAGCAGCAAGTAAATGATTTGCATTCCCTACTGTAGTGTATTTAGAATATATTGAAACTATATTCTACTCTTAAATATAGGCATGTTATATTGATCTTATATTTAGACATATCTACAGTCTGTTTGCGCTACATTCAAATATGGCTGACTACATTTAGTTATTACGGTCCTCGCTATTTTCTACAATTATCTGCTATTCTATAACCTGTTATGGTATATGTTGTATCTAATTCTAAAATCATGTTCTCTGCATGTGTTCTAATGTAATAGCTATAAATACCGCCGTTTTCTATCTTAGATTTCTTAAGTTGCATTATTAGTCACAGCTAATATTCACACTTTACTCACGGCAGCTACCACGCTGATCTACCGTAATTATCACATTGTACCTAACTACTATCTACAATAAAATATCCTCTTTTCTTAAGCTCCTTGTGCAATTCTCTGCATGACAATCACATTATCCTACTCTTCGAACCCTCTATCACACCTATTATAACTATTAATTTCAGTATGTTTATATATGTCACTATCATAAAAAGTTAGTGCTATATTAAAACACAGTATATCCAAATTAGAAGTTAACTAAATAAGGATAGGCTAACAGGATTATCCTAACATAGATATTTCTACCCTAATACAGCATATAATACCGTCACAAGCGCCTTAGCGCCATTTGAAAATAAGCTATAGTAAATTAGTTTGAACGTACGTTAGCTAATAATTAGGTGATGTACGGGTATATCAGATAACACTGAAAAATGTTAAATATTCATGGTATATGGTGTAAATTTGGGCTGGCTTGCATGAATTTAGTCTATGTTAAATCGATATGTAATCCCACTTTTACTGGTATTACGTCGAAGTTTAATATACAAGAACCAAGAAATATTAATGTGCTTTGGAATTTAAAACCTATATAAAGAGTTAAAATAGGCTTGAAATTTATACTCTTTTTCAATAAACAGGATTAATGAATTTCATTTTCAGGAAATACTAATTCTTATCATAATTACATTTCTACGGTGCTCAGTTGCCAGTATTAAAGCAGATTTTATTCTTGTTGACAACAGTCTTCTTAGTAGGCTTAAATTATTACTGACGGTCATTTTGCATTATAGACTGTTACGAATAAAGTACATAACTTGTAAATACTGTTTCCAGGAACTATTAACTTGATATGCACAATAAATAGGAAAATTTTGAATTGACATTTTATGCATACAAATTTTCTTACGCAAATTTAAATATCAGTAATCACTCTTACTTTTAAATAGCATGAGAAATTGTCCTTTATGTTTTGTATCAGTCTTTATTATTTTCGTATGAAAGAATTATAAAGGATGACTGTGTTTTTTCTTCTTAGTAAAGAGGTCAATAAACACTATATTTTGCATGTAAAATGTGGTAGTTGAAATATCAGCATTAAATAAAAATAAGCTGCCTGGCATTGAGATATGAAATTATATCTTCATATCTAGCGTATTTAGCTATATAATACTGGAATATTATAAGATCATATTGAAAGATTCATTATTTCATATTTATTGCATTATTGGAATGGAAAAACTGATAAATGTCATATACTCGATGATGGAAAAATTATAGCCAAAAGTAAATTAGATGAGATATAGAGAGTAACTAGGACAGCTTAAATAGAAACAAAATTAGCATACAGTATATTTTAAATGAATAATATCAAAATCTTGCTTAATAACATCATACTTACCATTTATTGAAATTATTTTAATGCACTATACACCGTTAGAGCTACTTTTTGTTAAAAATCGTTAGCGCTAGTTAATATAACATTTATACGTTTACTAATACAGAAAACTACAATTGTAGTCGCATAGCTGATGGATTGAAGCTAATGAAATCGCTAATTTGGTGCCAGAAAAGGATAAAAGATAAACTCCGTGATTACTGCAAAGATTTAGTTACAATAACAAAACCTGATCGCAATCGCCAATCTAAATGATATTCAAGATTATACAAGGCTTTGTTTGTACCGATAAGCTAATTTACGATATTCGTTTTATGAAATCTTTTCCAAACTTAAATATGAACATCATCGATTTTCTTTTGAGTTAAAAATCGATTAACAAAGTAAGATAAACGATTTAAAATAAGATATTAAATTAGTCAAGAATATGTCTCTGTGATATTGAGAATAGAAAGCTGTTGATTGTTTTTGATAATTTCGACGTAAATAAATTACGCTATTTGTTTGCATCCTTTGAAGAGCATAGAGGAAGAGATATTTTCCAAGGCATAGTAAAATCATCAAATAACAATAACTTTACTTTTTCCACCTATTTAATTATCGTTCAAATATTTGATAAACCATTTCCTTTAACATTACTGGTAATAAACTAACTTTGAATTTTATTTTTTAATACTATTGAATTTCTAGTATGGTAGCTGAAGTAATTCCAGATCATAATATAATAAAAAATGATTTCTTTCATTTTCAAAGGCTTATTATCGTGAATATGGTTACAGTAAGCTTACCATCGGTATATATTTATGAAAGAAGCAATAAATTGGGCGAAATTATTTTAAGATTTATAACAATACGTTCAGATATTGATCCGATCTTCGCTATGGTTGATCATTATTTAATGGTAATGATCTCGTCTTTGTCATGATTGATTATGATAGCTAGAAGTATAAGACTAGACATAGTGATAAAGATAATCCGAATAATCTGCAATAATCTCCATGTCACTATTATAAATCTTTTACAAGATTATAGTAGAAATTGTCTATTATCGGTAGTTTTGAAAGTCTTTTAAGATCAACTTTAATTTCGAAAAAATGCGCTTTATTCTTCGTTTGATTACGATAAGTTTTAAAAATGTTAGGCTGGCATTCAGCAATAAAAGAATTCCGTTTTAGAATGATGATTATTTTAGCAAACTTCAAACATTGGATTCATAAGTTATGGTAGGTATGAATTCTGTTGTCAGCACTCTATTATGACTATTAGTTCGTTTACTAGGAATTCTCTTGGTAAATGTTCTCATCGTTTCCTTTCTTAATGTGCTTATATGATAGATAAAGAGTAATGGATTAATAACCAAGTAAAACAAGGCGAACAATCGTAACATACGGAAAGCGTTATAGAGCGGAAAACTAACATTGTAATTGCTAAGCAATAAAAAAACAGTCTGATAAGGCATCCATAAGATTATGTAAACTCCTAAAATTCCGAATGTTTGTTGAATTAATTTTTTATTGACTTCCAAAAAACTTTGTGATACTTTATTGGATCGCATTAGGGAAAGAACTTTTGGCTTGTTGTTAATGACGTAAAATAGATGGCCATAAGATATAATCATAATTACCAAGGGTAAAAAATATAGTATACTTGTAGCTGTATTAACATAGATTCGCTCGGCTTCGTTATCGATGGATACAATGCATCGATTTGTAGGTACAGGTATACGAAATGAGTAATAAGGAATCGAACCAGTGATAATGCCAATAATCCAAACCATGATAATTGCTGGTAAAGCATAGCGATAAGATGCTCGTTGACGATAAGTAAATGGATAGGCTAAATTTAAATAGCGATTAAGGCAAATAAGGCAGTGATGAAGAGTTGTAATAAACATTAGAGTTAGACCAATGCCACGTATTAATGAGCAGAATAAAGGCGCTGAAAAGGCTAATTCGCTTAAGAAGTGATTAAATGGTAGAGCGTAAAGGGTTTCATAAAGTAAACTAGCGGTAAACATACTAGCTAAAATGCCATGGGTAATGTTCCATATTTTACGATTCATGGCGATAACTAAGATGGCTATGCCGTTAGTAAAGATACTAAGGCTAATTAAGACCGTTGCTGAAATATCGATTGCACGTGGGTCTAATCGAACACCAGGGAAAGTTGGTAGCGGAGGTGGAAGAGTTTGGTTAATATGGCTAGTATTCATCGTTTTTACCTACCAATCGTATGAAATTGGTCAAGTATAAAAGTCTTAGAATTGTATTTTAATTAAAAATTTGAAATCGATATTTAGATACAGTATAACTATTAAGAACGTAGATTAAATGCAGTACTTTTTATGAACGTAATGACAATCTGTGAAAAAAAGGTAGATAATCTTCTTAAGTAGTGCTTCTATTAAAAAAATGTTTATTAAACCAATTTGATGAGTGTCTTGAGATTGTAAGACAACTGAAGATATTAATAACGTAAGCTAAAATGTGACAGAAAATTTCAAATTTTATGGAAAGGTTGATAGTTACAATAATAATCAATCATTTTTAGGATAAAATATTGATGTAACACCTTAAAATAAATTCTTTCAACAACACCAATTTATCCAATCAACATCGACAAAAGATGCGTAAAATAGGTGAAAATCCTTCAATTACCCAAGTCGTTGTTTTCCTCTCGTATAAGTTTTCCCTCTACGACTTTTCTATCAATCAATATCGCAATTTCGTTAAAATAATCAGCTATATCGAGAAAGTGGAATTGATGAAATGATGGCAGATTTATTCCGAAGATATTTTTAATATTTTTCAACTTTGAAATACTATTACAAGCATCGCAACCGCACCTTTGCCACGATTAGAATAAAATGTTACCTTAAATTGTTAGCTAACTGGTAGATAAAAAGTAAATTAAGATTCAGCTAATAAATAAATAAGAAATAATGGCGACTCTTGTCTTGTGGACTTAGATCTTTTCTTTCTATTATTATTGTAATCACTCTCTCTAGTACTGGCTTGTTCATTATGATCAGAGTAACGTTTTCTCCGCCCTTAACAGTATGCAAGTTTAATAGCCCAAATAGCAGAACTATTATTTTATTCATTGCTTACCGTTGCTAATGTCAATAACTTGCCAGTTTAATACTGGTTTGTCATTGTTTTCTATCTTAAACTTACCACTTTAAAGCTACGTTGTACATAGGGCTTAATCTAAGCCGATAATAACAAATATGAATAATAATTATAAAGCCTGATAATAATAGCATACCTTGTGGATGGGCAAATCAACTATTTTCGGACTTCTTATTTAGTTAAGCTATCAATCTAGGCCAAGATTGAACTCTGTGATTGTCATGAATACAAAAACAGTTGACAATAGCTGTGAATTGCAAAGAAAGTATCCTGTCTGTCTTATTTCTATCTTTTCAGGTCTTTTATTCTAGTATTTCAATGACAATAGCTATAGGCATAACAGATAAAAGAGGCTAAGTTCCGTTCTCTGGATGAAATATAAATTAAAGTAGATGATAATAACATCGTCGACGAAGTCAGCACCATATTAGCTTGCACAGTAATATTGATTTATTCAAGACAACTATCCGAAACTAAATGAAACAACTAAACTTCCTTCGTAATCCTGAGCAATAACCTTCTAAAATCATTATAAAGAAAGTTTATAGAGATAAGAATACTTGTTATTATTAGTATTCCTCTTATCGTGACAATAGTTTAAATTTTTTGATATTATTGTTTTTGTCGATATGTTTGTTCTCTAGATCCATAAACAATAATCGATCGGATGTCTATTCTACATCAATGTATTTCTTTAATTGGTCTATTAGTTTAAAATAGATTAGGCCTTTTGATCACTTATTCAACTAATGATCTAACACAGGGTAATATTACAATATCAAATATCAATATTGTATTAATCATGATAAAATTCTTGGCCTCAAAGTTAAATATACTAAATACAGTTAATCTTGATTACTGCTGTCATAATTGAAGAACATGTGGTCTTTGATAGAAAAAATATCCAATATTAAATGATTTACAATTTTGTTAGACTAAGCGGGAATGCTTTATGAATTCTGATAATAGCCGGAATGGATTCCTTTTCCGATATAGTGATTTAATGAAAATAGAATAAATGGTAGTACTCGTATCATGTAATTATAGAAAATACTAGAATTCAATGTAAAACACCCAAACGGTCTTCTACGAATTATTACTCGAATAACATTATGTAGCTGTAGCAAAAGTCAATCTTACAAGAGTTGTTAGAGCGTCTATTTCTATATTAGCTAACTAACATATTTTATTCCTACATCTCACGACTTTAATCTAAAGTCTCGATATGTTCTTAATTTACGCTTAAAAGAAACTGAGCAATATCCACAACAGCAATTTTATACCCGCAATTTCGAGTAATTTGAGTAAACTTAAATTTAGCACATAAATTAAAAATTTTATAAATTTTTTTTAAATCAAAGAATTATAAAGTTTTATAAGCTACAGCAATCTTTCGAATTTCAATAAAGAATGCTTATAATTAAAAAAGTCATTTTCATAGACTTTATTTAAATTAAGGAATTAAAACACCATGATTTCGACAGTATCATCCGAACTATTTTGTTTTCTGGTGCTCTAGTTGAGGACAATCGTACATTAAATATTTGTAACAGTGCTTAATTAAATATGTATTCACAAATTACTTACGTACCACAGCTACGACCGAGAAAATGATCATCACTACAACATTACTTAATTGCTATGTAGAACGTTTCGGAGCTTTCAAATTATTGTTAGGCTTATTTCTTTTAATTTGTGTCGCACTTATAGTTTATAATTTTGTGCAGTTACATTGATTACTTAATTCATGATCAATTCGTGCGCATATTAGCAAATTATCTTTTTATACCGATAATATTCAGTATTACTGGAGTTTAACGTTTTACGCTATGCTGCTGCACATTTCAATATTAATTCTTGCTAGCTAACTCTTTCAGAAAATTTATGACAGCCTTAAGCTATACCATAAGGCGAGGATAAATAATTTTTGGGCTAGTGATATTTTCCTATTGGTTTTTAAAAAATGGTATAAAATTCATTTGTACCTAACTTCAGCTATCTGAACAATAAATAATCAACTTTTAAATCATAAAAGGCGACTCTTGTTTTGACAGCGTGAGGTTTGTAATATTTTCGATTCTTTAAACGTTATGTGCCAATGCCTATTCATTGACAGATATTTCATTTTCATATTGTTAACTGTTTTTTTAAATCACGTAGGATGCTATTATTACTTAATTTATTTGCCCAATTTACTAATGTAATAATTGCTATTTTACTGAATTCGCAATATAAAAAAATATTAATGTTTCTATGCTTACTGGAAGTCTGGCTAATTCGTAACTGAGATTTACCTAAAGATAAGCTATTCACTATTTCGGTCTCTTTGGTACGCTTCTTTTATAATTCATTTTAACTAACTGTTTGTTTTTATTTAATTTTGCAACCAATATAACGGTACCATAGTGGCAAGAATAACTAAATCTAGTGTTTTAGTTTATATTACGTTCGTTTGGCAATATAGGATTCTATTCAGCTTAGGAATTTAATTTATTTTTGTTTTAGTATCCTTGAAACACTTTTATCTTCTAAACTTCGGTATACTCTAGAAATGAATCATTAATTTGATAATACTAGTTGTATTGTTTCTTACAACAGTACCAGTAACTTGGTATATGCTATTTATGTTTGCATCAACCTAAAAGTGAATAATTTTATGATTAAATCTGACTAAAACTATATTTAAACTTATGCCGAATTCGATCGGTTTGGCAGAAAATATTTTGGACGATTCAAAAGTAATACAGCGGTTAAATATTCTGATATTGCTGAGAAAGAATTTATTAATTTTGAACACTGTAGCGTTTTTAGATTGTAATATAACTATTATCAACTCTTACTATAGACATTTTGTATTGCTCTTAAATATAAACATATTTAGAGTGTGTTTGTACTATATTCTTACACAGCTTGCTGTGTTTATTTGTAGCGTTAGCAGTCTTCGTTATTTTTTACAATTATTTTACTATTATGGTATACATTGTATCTAATTATATAATTGTGATCTCTGTTTGTGTTTTATCTCAAAAGCTATAAATAAAGTCTATTTCTACCTCAGAAATAATTAGCTACGCTGGTCACAGTGTTGGTACTTTCACACGTTTCTCACGACAGCATACACGTTGATCTACCGTAAATACCAGATTTTACCTTAGTTACCATCTATAATAAACTATCTGCTTTCATTAAATCCTGTTGTGTAATTTTGAGAACAGCAACTAAGTCCGCAGCGGCTGATTCTTTGAATTCTCCGTCACAAATACGTAATAATTCTAAAAGGAACGTTCCATAAAATTTAGTTGTTGTTTGCAATCGGCTATGCCCATATTAAAATTATTCTAGTAGTATAAATTTTGTTTTGATATTTGTTACAAGCTAGGGTTAATCCTAACTTGAGTGATGGTTATAATCTGATAAATTAGTTGGCGATGACTATTTTAGCCTACCGCAATTAGTCCTACATTAAGGATTTGTTCCATATCAGCTGGTGCACACTTAAGTTATAGTTGTAATTCAGGAAACCAGAAATATTACTGGCAGGTAAACATATACGTCGTATCAGCGTAATAAAGGGAATATTATATATGTCACGCACGTTTTTTTTTAACATGGATCTAAATAAAAATTATTATTCTTCTTCGAAAAAATAGTATTGATGACCAGTTAGAAGCCATAATATTTTTTCAAAGTTTATACTTACCTTTTCTTATGTCTAAGGCTAGATGACAATGAGTATATTAGGGTAAATTGATCATTTGACAGCAAAAATGAAAGCTAAGAATAAAGCTCCTACAAATTTTCAAGTCGAAGAATGTCAATTTAGAATGATATAATATTATAAAAGAATTAAGCATCAAAAAATACCGATCTGTAATTTGTTTGGGGATATGAATGTCGACATTACGGTAGTATATTTGGCTGAATGTGATTGATTATCATTCTGCTCTTCATATGATGCTAATAAGTATTAATTACGCAATTGTGAAATTTTCTTTTAGGAGGACAAAATAAAAAATTGATGGAACTCACCGAAGCTACTTTAGTGATCGAATTTTATTAATATTCCTTTAATTTAACAAAT